AGTCACGAGTGACCGGAGTCACGAGCGACCGGAGTCGCTAGCAACCGGAGTCACGAGCGACCGGAGTCGCGAGTGACCCGAGTCACGAGCAACCGGAGTCACGAGCAACCGGAGTCGCTAGCAACCGGAGTCACGAGCAACCGGAGTCGCTAGCAACCGGAGTCGCGAGCGACCGGAGTCACGAGCGACCGGAGTCGCTAGCGACCGGAGTCACGAGCGACCGGAGTCGCGAGTGACCCGAGTCACGAACAACCGGAGTCACGAGCAACCGGAGTCGCTAGCAACCGGAGTCACGAGCAACCGGAGTCACGAGCAATCGGAGTTGCGAGCGACCGGAGTCACGAGCGACCGGAGTCACCGCCACCGGAGTCACGAGCAATCGGAGTCACGAGCAACCGGAGTCACGAGCCACCGGAGTCGCGAGCCACCGGAGTCGCTAGCAACCGGAGTCGCGAGCGACCCGTGTTGCTCGCGACTCCTTCCAGTGTTCTGCATTGCGATGGTTTTGTTTGGTGTTGTTCTGACCCCCGTGCACCTGACCACTGCGACGTCTCTGGAAGAACAAAAAGATTGAAAGAGCTTCGCGGCTCATCGGAATGCGCCTTATTGAGTCGGAGCAAAGCTTCCGATGGCTCTGAAACGTGGAGGGGAGAAATAAAAAAGACTCGGAGGAGGACCCCGGGGACACGGAGAGAGAGAGACACAGACCTCCTGTAGACCAGGCGAGGTAGTCAACATCTCATAGCCACTGTGATGATGATAGAGACACAGACCTCCTGTATACCAGGCGAGGTAGTCAACATCTCATAGCCACTGTGATGATGATGATGACAATGAGAGAGAGACACGCAGACTCAAAATCTACAGCAGCAGCAGGCATGGTCAGGCTAGGGATCGAACCCACGACCTCCTGTGTACCAGGCGAGGTAGTCAACATCTCATAGCCACTGTGATGATGATGATGATGAGAGAGACACAGACCTCCTGTAGACCAGGTGAGGTAGTCAACATCTCATAGCCACCGTGATGATGATGATGATAATAATGAGAGAGAGAGAGACACAGACCTTCTATAGACCAGGCGAGGTAGTCAACATCTCATAGCCACCGTGATGATGATGATGAGAGAGACACACAGACCTCCTGTAGACCAGGCGAGGTAGTCAACATCTCATAGCCACTGTGATGATGATGATGAGAGAGAGACACAGACCTCCTGTAGACAGGCGAGGTAGTCAACATCTCATAGCCACTGTGATGATGATGATGATGATGAGAGAGACACAGACCTCCTGTAGACCAGGTGAGGTAGTCAACATCTCATAGCCACCGTGATGATGATGAGAGAGACACACAGACCTCCTGTAGACCAGGCGAGGTAGGCAACATCTCAGAGCCACTGTGATGATGATGATGATGAGAGAGACACAGACCTCCTGTAGACCAGGCGAGGTGGTCAACATCTCATAGCCACCGTGATGATGATGATGAGAGAGAGAGAGAGATGCAGACCTCCTGTAGACCAGGCGAGGTAGTCAACATCTCATAGCCACCGTGATGATGATGATGATGATGAGAGAGACAGACCTCCTGTGGACCAGGCGAGGTAGTCAACATCTCATAGCCACCGTGATGATGATGATGATGATGAGAGAGAGACACAGACCTCCTGTAGACCAGGCGAGGTAGTTAACATCTCATAGCCACTGTGATGATGATGATGAGAGAGAGACACAGACCTCCTGTAGATCAGGCGAGGTAGTCAACATCTCTTAGCCACGGTGATGATGATGATGATGAGAGAGACACAGACCTCCTGTAGTCCAGGCGAGGTAGTCAACATCCCATAGCCACCGTGATGATGATGATGAGAGAGAGAGACACAGACCTCCTGTAGATCAGGCGAGGTAGTCAACATCTCATAGCCACTATGATGATGAACACGCTCAGAACACGCTAAGAACACGCTAAGAACACACCAAGAACACGCTCAAAACGCGCTAAGAACACGCTAAGAACACGCTCAAAACGCGCTAAGAACACGCTAAGAACACGCTAAGAACACGCTAAAAACACGCTAAGAACACGCTAAGAATACACCAAGAACACGCTAAGAACACACTCAGAAAACGCTAAGAACACGCTAAGAACACACCAAGAACACGCTCAAAACGCGCTAAGAACACACTAAGAACACGCTCAAAACGCGCTAAGAACACGCTAAGAACACGCTAAGAACACGCTAAGAACACACCAAAAACACGCTCAGAACACGCTAAGAACACACCAAGAACACGCTAAGAACACGCCAAGAACACGCTAAGAACACGCTAAGAACGCGCTAAGAACACGCTAAGAACACGCTAAGAACACGCCAAGAACACCCTAAGAACACGCTAAGAACGCGCTAAGAACACGCTAAGAACACGCTGAGAAGACACTAAGAACACGCTAAGAACACACCAAGAACACGCTAAGAACACGCCAAGAACACGCTCAGAACACGCTAAGAACGCGCTAAGAACACGCTAAGAACACGCTAAGAACACGCTGAGAACACGCTAAGAACACGCTAAGAACACGCCAAGAACACGCTAAGAACACGCCAAGAACACGCTAAGAACACGCCAAGAACACGCTAAGAACACGCCAAGAACACGCTAAGAACACGCCAAGAACACGCCAAGAACACGCTCAGAACACGCCCAGAACACGCTAAGAACACGCCGAGAACACGCCAAGAACACGCTCGGAACACGCTAAGAACACGCTAAGAACACGCCGAGAACACGCCGAGATCACGCTAAGAACACGCTAAGGACACGCTAAGAACGCGCTAAGAACGCGCTAAGAACACGCTAAGAACGCGCTAAGAACACGCTAAGAACACGCTAAGAACACGCTAAGAACACGCCGAGAACACGCTCAGAACACGCTAAGAACACGCTGAGAACACGCCCAGAACACGCTAAGAACGCGCTAAGAACACGCTAAGAACACACCAAGAACACGCTAAGAAAACGCTGAGAACACGCTAAGAACACGCTAAGAACACGCTAAGAACGCGCTAAGAACACGCTGAGAACACGGTAAGAACACACCAAGAACACGCCAAGAACACGCTAAGAACACGCTCAGAACACGCTAAGAACACACCAAGAACACACCAAGAACACGCCAAGAACACGCTGAGAACACGCTCAGAACACGCTAAGAACACGCTAAGAACGCGCTGAGAACACGCTAAGAACACGCTCAAAACACGCTAAGAACACGCTGAGAACACGCTAAGAACACGCCGAGAACACGCTCAGAACACGCTGAGAACACGCTAAGAACACGCTCAAAACGCGCTAAGAACACGCTGAGAACACGCTAAGAACACACCAAGAACACGCTAAGAACACGCTGAGAACACGCTAAGAACACGCTAAGAACGCGCTAAGAACACACTGAGAACACGCTAAGAACACACCAAGAACACGCCAAGAACACGCTAAGAACACGCTCAGAACACGCTAAGAAAACACCAAGAACACACCAAGAACACGCCAAGAACACGCTGAGAACACGCTCAGAACACGCTAAGAACACGCTCAGAACGCGCTGAGAACACGCTAAGAACACGCACAAAACACGCTAAAAACACGCTGAGAACACGCTAAGAACACACCAAGAACACGCTAAGAACACGCTGAGAACACGCTAAGAACACGCTAAGAACACGCTAAGAACGCGCTAAGAACACGCTGAGAACACGCTAAGAACACACCAAGAACACGCCAAGAACACGCTAAGAACACGCTCAGAACACGCTAAGAACACACCAAGAACACACCAAGAACACGCCAAGAACACGCTGAGAACACGCTCAGAACACGCTAAGAACACGCTAAGAACGCGCTGAGAACACGCTAAGAACACGCTCAAAACACGCTAAGAACACGCTGAGAACACGCTAAGAACACACCAAGAACACGCTAAGAACACGCTGAGAACACGCTAAGAACACGCTCAAAACGCGCTAAGAACACGCTGAGAACACGCTAAGAACACACCAAGAACACGCTCAGAACACGCCAAGAACACGCTGAGAACACACCAAGAACACACTACGAACACGCTAAGAACACGCTAAGAACACGCTAAGAACACACCAAGAACACACTAAGAACACGCCAAGAACACGCTAAGAACACGCCGAGAACACGCTAAGAACACGCTAAGAACACACCAAGAACACGCTCAAAACGCGCTAAAAACACACCAAGAACATGCTAAGAACACGCTGAGAACACGTTAAGAACACGCCCAGAACACGCTAAGAACACGCTCAGAACACGCCAAGAACACGCTAAGAACACACCAAGAACACGCTAAGAACACACCAAGAACACGCTAAGAACGCGCTAAGAACACGCTAAGAACACGCTGAGAACACGCTAAGAACACGCCAAGAACACGCTAAGAACACGCCAAGAACACGCTAAGAACACGCTAAGAACACACCAAGAACACGCCAAGAACACGCCAAGAACACGCTGAGAACACGCTAAGAACACGTTAAGAACACGCTAAGAACACGCTAAGAACACGCTCAAAACGCGCTAAGAACACGCTAAGAACACGCTAAGAACGCGCTAAGAACACACTAAGAACACGCCGAGAACACGCTAAGAACACGCTAAGAACACGCTAAGAACACGTTAAGAACACGCTAAGAACGCGCTGAGAACACGCTAAGAACACACCAAGAACACGCTAAGAACACGTTAAGAACACGCTAAGAACGCGCTAAGAACACACTAAGAACACGCCGAGAACACGCTAAGAACACGCTAAGAACACGCTAAGAACACGTTAAGAACACGCTAAGAACGCGCTGAGAACACGCTAAGAACACGCTAAGAACACGCTAAGAACACGCCGAGAACACGCTAAGAACACGCTAAGAACACGCTAAGAACACGCCGAGAACAGGCGTGTGTCACGCAGCTCACCGTGGACGTCTGGAGGAGACTTGGACCGTCTGTGGCAGCAGCAGCAGCGGGCGGAGGATGTTTATAGCCAGAGACCCGCCCCCCCCAAAATGCGAGCGGGGTTGTGGAGTGGAGTGGGGGGCAGTGGGGGGGTGTAGCAGGTGGAGAGGGGCGTGGGTGGGTGGGTGGAACAGACAAAGCAATTGCCCAGAGCAGTGGCTCTTACTTCAGCCTGAAAATTTTATAACGTTAATAAACACATTTGGGGGGAGAGGGGTTTTAATGAACAAAGGAGTTGAACGATTTGTGCTTGCGTGCCCTGTGCTGAAAGTGTTTGTGGAAAATTTTGGCGCGTCTCGCGCCCCCCAGAAGGGGCATCTCGAACCCCCAGGATAACAACCACTGGCCTAGAGACACGTAGACTCATAGACACCCATAGACTCATAGAGACCCATAGACTCATAGAGACCATTAGACTCATAGACACCCATAGACTCATAGAGACCCTTAGCCTCATAGACACCCATAGACCAACATAGACACCCATAGACTCATAGAGACCCTTAGACTCACATAGAGACCCTATACTCATAGAGACCCATAGACTCATAGAGACCCATAGACTCATAGAGACCATTAGACTCATAGAGACTCTTAGCCTCATAGACACCCATAGACTCATAGAGACCATTAGACTCATAGACACCCATAGACTCATAGAGACCCATAGACTCATAGAGACCATTAGACTCATAGAGACCCTTAGCCTCATAGACACCCATAGACCAACATAGAAACCCATAGACTCATAGAAACCCATAGACTCATAGAGACCCTTAGACTCATGGAGACCCATAGACTCATAGAGACCATTAGACTCACAGACACCCATAGACTCATAGAGACCCATAGACTCATAGAGACACTTAGACTCACATAGAGACCCATAGACTCACATAGAGACCCTTCACTCATAGAGACCCTTAGCCTCATAGACACCCATAGACCAACATAGACACCCATAGACTCATAGAGACAATTACACTCATAGACACCCATAGACTCATAGAGACCCATAGACTCATAGAGACCATTAGACTCATAGAGACACTTAGCCTCATAGACAGCCATAGACTCATAGAGACACTTACACTCATAGAGACCCTTAGACTCATAGAGACACTTACACTCATAGACACCCATAGACTCATAGAGACCCATAGACCAACATAGAGACCCATAGACTCAAAGACACCCATAGACTCATAGAGACACTTACACTCATAGAGACCCATAGACTCACATAGAGACCCTTACACGCATAGAGACACTTACACTCATAGAGACCCATAGACTCATAAACACCCATAGACTCATAGAGACCCTTACACTCATAGAGACCCATAGACTCACATAGAGACCCATAGGCTCACATAGAGACCCATAGACTCATAGAGACCCTTACACTCATAGAGACCCATAGACCACCATAGAGACCCTTAGACTCATAGAGAACCATAGACTCACGTAGAGACCCATAGACCAACATAGAGTCCCACACTTACGAACATCCCACACTTACGAACACCCCACACTTACGAACACCCCACACTTACGAACACTTCACACTTACGAACATCCCTCACTTACGAACACCCCACACTTACGAACACCCCACACTTACGAACACCCCACACTTACGAACACCCCACACTTAAGAACACCCCACACTTAAGAACACCCCACACTTAAGAACACCCCACACTTACGAACACCCCACACTTACGAACACCCCACACTTACGAACACCTCACACTTACGAACACCCCACACTTAAGAACACCCCACACTTACGAACACCCCACACTTACGAACACCCCACACTTACGAACACTTCACACTTACGAACACCCCACACTTACGAACATCCCACACTTACGAACACCCCACACTTACGAACACCCCATACTTACGAACACTTCACACTTATGAACACCCCACACTTACGAACACCCCTCACTTACGAACACCCCACACTTACGAACACCCCACACTTAAGAACACTCCACACTTACGAACACTCCACACTTAAGAACACCCCACACTTACGAACACCCCACACTTACGAACACCCCACACTTACGAACTCCCCACACTTACGAACATCCCTCACTTACGAACACCCCACACTTACGAACACCCCACACTTAAGAACACTTCACACTTACGAACACCCCACACTTACGAACACCCCACACTTAAGAACACCCCACACTTACGAACACCCCACACTTACGAACACTCCACACTTACGAACACCCCACACTTAAGAACACCCCACACTTACGAACACCCCACACTTACGAACATCCCTCACTTACGAACACCCCACACTTACGAACACCCCACACTTACGAACTCCCCACACTTACGAACACCCCACACTTACGAACACCCCACACTTACGAACACCCCACACTTACGAACACCCCACACTTAAGAACACCCCACACTTACGAACACCCCACACTTACGAACACCCCACACTTACGAACACCCCACACTTACGAACACCCCACACTTACGAACACCCCGCACTTACGAACACTTCACACTTAAGAACACCCCACACTTACGAACACCCCACACTTACGAACACCCCACACTTACGAACACCCCACACTTAAGAACACCCCACACTTACGAACACTTCACACTTACGAACACCCCACACTTAAGAACACCCCACACTTACGAACACTTCACTCTTAAGAACACCCCACACTTACGAACACCCCACACTTACGAACACCCCACACTTACGAACACCTCACACTTACGAACACCCCGCACTTACGAACTCCCCACACTTACGAACACCCCACACTTACGAACACCCCACACTTAAGAACACTCCACACTTACGAACACCCCACACTTACGAACACCCCACACTTACGAACACCCCACACTTAAGAACACCCCACACTTACGAACACCCCACACTTACGAACACCCCACACTTACGAACACCCCACACTTACGAACATCCCTCACTTACGAAAACAGCTTCCACGATGTCTTTATTTGAAACAAAATTTTTATTTAAAATACGAACTAGCAGCTTGCAAACTGAACCGTGGCACTATTTGTAAAACCACGAGGAACCTTATTTTTTAAATTTCATTTCACGAGGTGTTAGGCCACCGCTGAGCCGCTATGCAGAATTCTGTTTTAATTATTTCACGCTTTTATTTAACTCACTCTGTCTGTTGCTGTTGTTGTATTCTCAAATCTCGTAACTCAATTTTAACACACTTGCCAATGTGATATCGCCTGCAGACTTTGTATATTTACGTCTTACTGATGACAAGACTACATTCTAGCATAAATGTTTGAAGAATATATTTTTAAAACAATCTTTTTACACGCTTTCTATTAACTCACTCTGTCTGTTGTTGTTGTTGTATTCTCAAATCTCGTAACTCACTTTTAACACACTTGCCAATGTGCTATCGCCTGCAGACTTTGTATACTTACGTCTTACTGATGACAAGACTATATTCTAGCATAAATATTTGAAGAATACATTTTTGAACAATCTTTTTACACGCTTTCTATTAACTCACTCTGTTGTTGTTGTTATTGCATTCTCATTTCTCGTAACTCAATTTTAACACACTTTGCCAATGTGATATCGACTGCAGACTTTGTATATTTACGTCTTACTGATGACAAGACTCTATTCTAGCATAAATGTTTTAAACATATATTTTTTAACAATCTTTTTACACGCTTTCTATTAACTCACTCTGTCTGTTGTTGTTGCATTCTCAAATCTCGTAACTCAATTTTAACACACTTGCCAATGTGATATCGCCTGCAGACTGTGTATACTTACGTCTTACTGATGACAAGACTATTTTCTAGCATAAATGTTTGAAGAATATATTTTTAAAACAATCTTTTTACACGCTTTCTCTTAACTCACTCTGTTGTTGTTGTTGTATTCTCAAATCTCGTAACTCAATTTTAACACACTTGCCAATGTGATATCGCCTGCAGACTGTGTATACTTACGTCTTACTGATGACAAGACTATTTTCTAGCATAAATGTTTTAAACATATATTTTTAAAACAATCTTTTTACACGCTTTCTATTAACTCACTCTGTCTGTTGTTGTTGTTGTATTCTCAAATCTCGTAACTCAATTTTAACCCACTTGCCAATGTGATATCGCCTGCAGACTTTGTATACTTACGTCTTACTGATGACAAGACTATATTCTAGCATAAATGTTTTCAACATATATTTTTAAAACAATCTTTTTACACGCTTTCTCTTAACTCACTCTGTTGTTGTTGTTGTTATTGCATTCTCAAATCTCGTAACTCAATTTTAACACACTTTGCCAATGTGATATCGCCTGCAGACTGTGTATACTTACGTCTTACTGATGACAAGACTATATTCTAGCATAAATGTTTGAAGAATATATTTTTAAAACAATCTTTTTACACGCTTTTCCTTTAACTCACTCTGTTGTTGTTGTTATTGCATTCTCAAATCTCGTAACTCAATTTTAACACACTTGCCAATGTGATATCGCCTGCAGACTTGGTATACTTGCGTCTAACTGATGACAAGACTATATTCTAGCATAAATGTTTTAAACATATATTTTAAAACAATCTTTTTACACGCTTTCTATTAACTCACTCTGTTGTTGTTATTGCATTCTCAAATCTCGTAACTCAATTTTAACACACTTGCCAATGTGATATTGCCTGCAGACTTTGCATATTTACGTCTTACTGATGACAAGACTACATTCTAGCATAAATATTTGAAGAATATATTTTTGAACAATCTTTTTACCCCTTTTCCTTTAACTCACTCTGTTGTTGTTGTTGCATTCTCAAATCTCGTAACTCAATTTTAACCCACCTGCCAATGTGATATCGCCTGCAGACTTTGTATACTTACGTCTTACTGATGACAAGACTATATTCTATCAAGAAAAAACGATTTTAAACCATCTTTTGTTTATAAATATATATATAATGTTACGTTTTGGC